TCACCAAAAAAAAAAAAAAAAAAAAAAAAAAGTAGGAGATAAGACTTTTGCTAATTGCTCCATTTTTCTCCCAATTAAAATATGCTAGAGCTTAGAGTGATAGGGATATCCGTATACCAGAATAAGTAAGATAGAGTAGGATTTCAGGGGCACCTGAGTGGCTCATTTGGTTAAGCTCAGATCATGATCCCAGAGTCCTGGCATCCTTTCAGCTTAGATCATGATCCTAGAGTCCCAGGCTAGAGCCCTCAGTTGGGCTCCCTGCTCAGTCTGCTTCTCCCTCTCTCTCTCCCTCTGTGCTCACTCTCTCCTCTCTCACTCTTAAATAAATAAATAAAATCTTAAAAAAAAAATAGAATAGGATTTCAGCCTTCCATGACTTATGTTTTTTTCTCAATGCAGTATCATTAAAAACTACCAGTTCCCAGAATAATTGTTTCCAAACAAAAGCACCAAAAGATACTACAAAGCTAACTGTGGTCTTTAGGTTCCATGATGCCCCAGTGATGAATCAGCCTTCTGCTTATATTCTCTAAACCCCTTAAATGGACCCCAGGATTTCCTCTGCCACCCTGCCCTTAATTCAGCATGGCTTTGTGGGGCTTACAGTGGAGAAGTGATTTTGAGGTAGCTCATTGCTTTGAAATTTCTTTGGTATTTCTTTCATTTTTTTTTTTTTTTATAAATAAGAGTTATCTATGCTTTCAGCATTTTTTTTCTTTTACATTTTTACGAAAGTAAAAAGAGTACAGTAACTTTTTTCCCCATGTTTTTATTGAAATTCTAGTTAGCTAACATACATAGAGTGTAATATTAGTTTCGGGTGTACAGTGTGGTGATTCAGCACTTCCATATAATACCCAGTGTTCATTGCAACAAGTGCCCTCCTTCATCCCCATCACCTATTTCCCCCAACACCCCACCCTTCTCCAGTAACCATCAGTTTGTTCTCTATAGTTAAGAGTCTCTTTCTTGGTTTGTCTCTCTCTCTTTTCCCTTTTGCTCTCTTGTTTTGTTTCTTAAATTCCACATAGGAGTGAAATTATATGGTATTTTTCTTTCTGATTGACTTATTTCACTTAGCATAAATACTCTCTAGCTCTATCCATGTTTCCATCTATGTCAATCCACTCTTTAACATTTATTTATTATTGTGAGAACAGAACCCAGAAGAGTGTTTATGTGACTCACAATATGCTATTGGAACCTACTGTTAATCCACAGACCTTGTATAACCAAGGTCTCAAAAATATGCTGTCTTAAAAAAAAAATCTATCTATCATCTATCTAATTGTCTTACCCATAGTAAAATCTTACCTGTATCTTACTATATAGGGAATACACTATTTTACTTCAAGACTAAGCCATAAGTTTCCCATATTTTTACTACAACATCCTACTTAGACTTCATTTGATTTAAGCCTTAGTTTTGAAACAGCAGACTTAATTTATTCCAGTAAGGCAGAGATTTACTGTTTCATGATTAGGAATCTGTCTAGAACCTTCTAACTCAATGTGTGGCCCATGGACCAGCAGCATATGTATCATCTTTAGATTGTTAGAAATGCAAACTCCCTATCTTTCTCTCCCTACTTATTGAATTGGAATCTGCATCTTGACCAGAAACCCCAGTTAATTTGTGTGCATGTTATGTTTGGGAAACACTGGATTTAAATCCATAAATCACACTAATTCTATAGCTGAGATTGCTTTGAGGCTGGTGGCAGAACAGTTAATTGTAAATTACATTTGCCGTTGATCTGGAGAAAAGATAAACCTAACAACTGTGAATGACTTGCATATCCTGAAAATATTTAAAATGATAAAAATGTGCAAATTATGTGAAATCTGAGAGAAATTAGAAATACAAGAAATAAGTAAAAATTATCCTGGAGGATATGAACTAAATGTGTGTGCACAAAGTATTCTGTAATGCATAGTATTGGGGAAATTGAACATGGGAAACCTCGTGATAGATGTGACATAAGCCTAATAGTAGATAGAAAGTCAGAAATTAATCAGTGATAGATCACAGTGGTCACTGTTCCGCTGCCGGTTTGATTTGTTACAGATTTTCTCAAAGGCAGAACCTCGTTGTGGCACGTGTGCTTTTCATGCAGTGAATGCCACTGTTTGCTAGAAAAATAAAAACTGGAGAGTTTTAAGAGATGGGCTAGAAGACTGATTATGACATAAGAAGAACTGATTTATGAAGAAAGAGAACAATAATTAAATGGGCAGCACTATGCTATGAAAAGAGGCTATGGAGACATGGATATTTATCTGATGTTTCTTGTCTGGTGTTTCCCGTAGTATCCATATGAAAGATGCAGAAATATTAGGATGTAGGGACGCCTGGGTGGCTCAGTGGGTTAAGCCGCTGCCTTCGGCTCGGGTCATGATCCCAGCGTCCTGGGATCGAGTCCCACATCGGGCTCCTTGCTCAGCGGGGAGCCTGCTTCTCCCTCTGCCTCTGCCTGCCACTCTATCTGCTTGTGCTCACTCTCGCTCTCTCTCTCTCTGATAAGTAAATAAAATCTTTAAAAAAAAAAAAAAAAAAAAAAAAAAAAAAGATAGAAATATTAGGATGTAAAGATGCCAAGAAATTTGTTACAGAGCAAAGCAATATCAGCTGGAACTCCTCGATTAAATTAGGAGCAATATCAAAGATTAAGTTGTAGAAAATTGTACCTGATACATGAGAAATGACCTTGAATGGGGTGACTTTATCCCTGAGAACTTTTGAAAGCTCTCTGGGCAAGATCATTTATTAAATTGTTGAATTACCTCCCCAGGGAAATAACTGGAACCCCGTCCCTTGAAATTTCTAAAATTAGGGTGGAAAAAAACCAGGATGTTGCCTATGGGAACTCTCTCTACTTCTGGTGGACACTTGGTGATTGATGAGTGGCACTTTTCTTCTCCAATATCTTTGATTATTGCTCATGGTTACCATACACAGAAACATTTTTTCATCAGGTTGGTATCCTATTTATATTTTTTTAAAATGCTAGTTTCTAGAAAAACAGCTGGAGAGCATCACTCATCTGCTGTCCATAGTGTCTGCCTCCTTGGCAATGGTAGGCTTACCTGGCATTCTTTTTTTCATTTCTCTTCACTATGTAATTCATTAAGAGATGCAATTTAGTATATATTGGAAATGAATTCATTTCCTACATTTTCTTCATTCAGAAAGCTAAAAAGGAAAGCCCCTTTGGAGGCCTTTGCCTTTTGGAGACATTTGTCAAATGAATACAGAAACTCTGTTAGAAACTCTCAAATGAAATCATCTACTGCTTCAGAGAGTTTTGTGATCCTTTTTATCCAGATGAAAACCCAGTTTATGTTTACCTGGGAGTAATGGTCCAAGAGCACTACATTTCCTTCTCTCTCCCTCTGTAGAGTTTCCCCCTAGTAATGTACATCCGCTGAAAAGGGGAGCTCAGTAACTCAATTCTATTGGTCACAAATAAAGTACAACACAATTATTTAGTATTCTAATTACCTTTTCATGCTAATTCCTTCGCATCCACATTATATTGTCTAAGAGATTTAGCTTAATATAGGTGCTGCTAAGGATAACTTATATCGAATCTGTTGACTGAAGATATTAGATATACTTCATGTTGTTATGTAGGAAGGTTTGCCAAACTTAAATATTAAGTCACATTAATCAAACTCCATCATGTGTGCCATAACATGAATAACATGAATGGGTTTTTTGTTGACAGCATTTTCTCAATCATTGTTCACTTTTCTTATTTATGACTTCATGCTCCTGCTTTAGTTTTAAGAAATTCTGTTTGTCTTTAGCCCAGAGTTCTTCCTCCTTTCCTTCTTGAAAGAGGTCTAGACCTAAACAGAAAGGTTAAGATTACATTCTGCTATTGAGTCTCTAATACAAAGATCATCTCCTCTGTATCCTGTTTTTGTGAAAATGGCTCTAACAACTTGCCAGTATTTACATGTGCAAACAGCAACTGTCTCCAAGATGAAAACTAACTGAGAAATAAAAATAAAATTGATGGGGGCGCCTGGGTGGCTCAGTGGTTTAAGCCGCTGCCTTCGGCTCAGGTCATGATCTCAGGGTCCTGGGATCGAGTCCCACATCGGGCTCTCTGCTCAGCAGGGAGCCTGCTTCCCTCCCTCTCTCTGCCTGCCTCTCTGTCTACTTGTGATCTCTCTCTGTCAAATAAATAAATAAAATCTTTAAC